ATTGTCTATATCTTGAGACTACTTTGAGACTTACAACCTCTGAAACTATAAAGGAATAAGGTTGTATTGTGTTAAGCCACTGATTTTGTGGCCATTATAACTGCAGCAAAAAATATAATATATATGTTTTTATTTTAAAAATATTGAACAGAAGGGTTACAGTTACATGAGTTAGGTAATGAATACATTTCCTATCAAGCCTTGTTACCTTCTCCTTTGTTTTTCCCCTATCATCCCTTCCCTCCCCACCTCCCTAACTCCTCCCACCCCCTGGGAATTGTTTTTAATGCACTTACAATGTACTAGGTGATTTTTTTGTTTCTTTTGTATGTTCTTTTCCCACTGTATAACCACTGTTTTCACTGTATTTGATTCTAGTGCCCTGCATCTTGTATGTACATTTTTATAATTTGAGGAGGGGAAGGAAAATAATAAAATGCTGAAATAAAGATACAGATTGTCCCATTGTAACAATGAGATGTACAAGACACTGTGTTGAAAACATATTTTTAATATATAATTAAATGTGAAAAGTACACTAATCTTATAAGTGTATAGCTTTAATATATATGTTTGAAATGTTAATACATGATTGTATTTAACTTCCAAATCAAGCTACAGCATATTCTAGCATCTTGTAAGATTCCATCCTGAAGCTTCCCAATTCATGCACCACTATCCACCACTCACAATATTTCTGAACACATTATGGGTATTTCCCTCACATTAAGCAATTTTCCACATACCAGCTGGTTCTCCTATAATTAGTATGGTACCACCTACCTGGAGTGAGTACACATACCTCATGAGTCTGCCATTTCAGACACTAGTTGTAAAAATCCAAATTGCAACATAAACTTTGTCCTATTATCTATAAATTGGGGCTCCCATGGCCTTTTCCTTGGGTTTTATAATTTTTTAGAATGTTTTACAAACTCAGAAAGTCCAAGCATGGTTTCCAACACTTGTAATCCCCATATTTGGAATGCTGAGGCAAGAGGATCCTGAATTCCAAGCTGGCTTGGCCTCACAGCAAAATCCTATCTTAAAAAAAAAAAACCAGCCAGACATTAATGGCTCAAGTCTGTAATCCTAGCTACTCAAGAGGCTGAGATCTGAGGGTCACAGTTTGAAGCTAGCCCAGGCAGGAAAGTCCATGAGACTCTTATCTCCAATAAACTACTCAGAAAAAGCCAGATGTGGTGCTGTGGCTCAGGTGGTAGGGCACTAGGGGCACTAGTCTTAATCAAAAGAAATTCAAGGACAACACCCAGGCCCTGAGTTCAAGTCTGGGACCAACAAAAGGAAAAAGAAAGAGAGGGGGCAGGGGAGAAGAGGGAGAAAGAAAGAGAAAAAACCCTCAGGAATATGTTTCCTTACAATGACAGTTTATGTAAAGGATACAATAGGACAAGCTACAAGAGCAGCAGAGGGGTGTTATTCTTTCTTGTCTTGTACCACTTTCTGACCCTTATCTGTGTCTAACAGGGAGCTCTCCAAACCCTATCATTTAGGGATTTTTATGCAAGCTTCTTTGGCATGCACAATCAGCCAACTCATTGGCCAGTGAGGACTAAGTGCACTCTCCAGTTCCTCTTCGTTCCTTGGAGGTAGAGGGGAACTAAAAGTTCTAACCTCCTAGTCATACAGCTGGTTTCTACATTAACCACCCCCCTTTCTTAAAGAGCCACCTTATTAGTATGAATTTACATAAAAGTGAAAGTGGTTTATTAGGAATAACCATGTTAGCCAGTTTTTCTCAATGCTATAATACATGACATTGTCAACTTCTGGGAGAAACTTTATTTTAAACTCATAGTTTCAAAGGTTTCAGTTGATAATGACTTAGTCCCATACACTTGGGCATAAGAACATGTCAGTAAGAAAGTGTGGAGGAAGAGTTTCTTCTTCTCATGGCAGCCAGGAAACAGAGAAAAAATAGAGAAAGGCTGGGAAAAAATACAGCCCCCAGGGCCATATGTCAGTGACAAACTAATCTCTCCTAGGCCCCACTATTCTACTTTTCACCATCTCCCAATAATGCCATCATATTAATGAATCCATCAAGGAATTAATTTATTGATTAGGTCTGAGCCCTTATAATTCAATCACTTCCCAAAAGCCTATCTTTAGGCAACCAAGCCTGAACCTGTGTGACAATATATAAACCAGAACACCAACAAAGCACATTCCTCTTACCCCATCCTTCAAAGAATCTAATGGCTTTAGGAACCCTATAATAGAAATCAGGGATAAAGACCAAAAACATAATTTTATTTTTTAAATCTGATTTTAGTAAAAATTTGAGTGTTGTTTGACTTTTGTTTCCTATATAGCCTTCTGAATTTTGTGTCAGATAACTTGTATTTGATTAACAAGGGCCTCCAGTAGTTCACAATATTAGATAATAAGAAATTGTTTAGCAATGAGCTGAGGTTTGGAAGACAGGCAGTGTTAAGAAGGGTTCTTCTTCCCATGTGGAGTTTAGAGTAAAGTAAATATGTAAAACACTTTGGAGGCCAAACATAGGACAGTAAAACCAATTAGGAGGATCTTGACATAATCTAGGCAAGAAGTGATGGAGATCAGACCTAAATACAGAAGTACAAAAATGGAGAAGAAAAAAAGATGACTTTAATTTAGATTAAGAAATTGGTCACTAATGGACTAGGGAGAAGCTCAAGAAGGAGATAAGGAAATTGAAGAATATGCTTGTCATGCAACCTGCAACCAATGGATCTTTTTCTACCTTTTTTTTCTCCTTGGAACAAATCTCTGATTGATCTATGGATGGGAATAGAAACTGCATACCCATTATCAGTATCTATGAAAATAATTCACTTTTCCTTTTAAGATGTAATGTTGCTAATCTCTCAAGTGTTGTGTTGATCTTGAAGAGCAGTGCCACAAGGAGGGCTCTGCAGGACTCTGCCCTGGTCTCACTGCTGACAGGCTAGACATCCAGAGGTGGAAGTAGCCAGATCAGCCCTGGAAAGTTTGAGTCAAGGCTACTGACACTCTGCATAGCCTCCGTCTCTGACACCGTGCCCACTTCATTCGTGTGACTATTGTGCCAGTTCTGTGGTGACTGTAGCCAAGGGCTGACTAACATCAATTACACATGATTTTGAGGTAGAAGGCTTTGAGGATGCTAGCAGCTAATTCCACAAAATCTCCACACTTCACAGCCACCTCCATCATCCATCTTTATGCAGCTCCCTTAGAGGTCCTTGTTTCAGATAATCTAGTCCTTTTCTTTACAAGCCCCTGAACAACTGGATAGGTTATCAACCAGTATTCACAAGCACACATGCGTATGCATGCACATAAGCGCGCGTGCACACACACACACACACGCACACACACACACAAGGCTATTTCTCCTTTCACAAAAAGCAGATGGCCGGGGTACTGCTAAAAGCTCTGCCCATGAGGAAGATTGTCCTTTGCTACTGTCTGAAGGCTTGCCCTGTTGCCCAATTTGCATCCAAATCTGAAGGCTTCTATACCCCCAAATTCTGCTTCCTTTCTCTTTTGTCTCTCATGGGATTACTCCTTCCCCTTCTCAATAAACCTCTTCCACTCTTCATTCATCTCAGCATCTGATCTCCAAAGACCTCAGCTGACATCTCTATACATATGGAGGAGTGATATGGAGGGCAATAGAGGAGAATCTAGATACATGTGGAGGGTGAGGCTATGTGGAGAGAAGTATGCTAACCTCTTTATGCCAGGAGACAGGTGATACAAACTACAAAAGGAGAGAGAATTTGGAGTAAGGGCAGATAAAAGCATGAAGTCTTCTCCTCTACCCTGGAGGGTTTGAGGGGAAATTGGGTGAGGTCTTCAGATTTCCCCCAGGAGGTTTTACAGGAGATTGATATCATTGTATTTAAGTACAAAAGAAAAGATATCCCTAAAGGATGGAGAATTCATATCACATTGGATATTAAGTGATATTCTCAGGAAGTGTGTGAGAAATAAGGAGACAAAGAAACACATTAACCAAAAGTTTAAAATGTAGGTCTGAATTCCAACACTGCTATCCTGAATTCCAATTCTGCTATCTTGTATATCCGTGGCTAATTTTTGGTTTACCCTTTTGAGATTCATCTGTGAAATGATAATAATAAAAGGAATTGTCTGAAATAAGTAAGGTGAGTTTAAAATAAAACAATCTTTACAAAGCATTTAATAGTTTCTGGTCCAGGCTGAATATGTTATTTTGCTATATCTTAGGAACCTCACCTATGTCGAACCTCAAAATGACAAAGTGAGCACTTAGCCTCAGAAGAATTGCAAGCATGTGATTCATACTGTGTCCATACAAATTGGACCCTCTTCTCCCTTGCAAACAAACTTACCAGTCCCAATATAATGAACGTTTTACTTATCCCCCAGGGAAGACAAATTATATTAAAGAAGCAAGACAAGGATTCCTAATAATTCTTTGTCCATAGATATAGTACTGTCATAATGGGGTAGAACCGGTAATTAAGGAAACTTCCACAAAGAAGGATTGATTTACGAAATGCATTAGAAAGTAGATAGGGTTTCTACCCTACATGAGCCACCTGACATATTAAATAACTCAATGTTGTAAACAGTTCTACTGAACTCATGGGATAGTGTTTCATCAGCCCTCATTTACATTTGTAATCATGCCACCATCAGAAAGGAGAAGACTTCTAAATCACTAACACCCTGTTCAAAAGCAGTGAGAGGAAGTTCACACATTTACTTCCTGATTTTAATATTTTCTGTTTGCAGCTGTGCTACTACAAGAGCAGTGATGTTGGCACTGTCAAAAGTAGAGAATAAAGAGGAAATGTGTAAAACCCAACATAAGACTATAGGAAAACCCCATACCCCATCTCAGGATGGGCTCTTGTTTTGTTTCTAATTACCTACTCACTCTCCTTTGTGAAAAGATTCCATTCTCTGAAGAGCAACTTCATGTCAGAGGTGAAGCATGTCTCCCCAGTCTTCAGGAATTCTTCCTGTGAGCTGCCATGGTTGATGATTACCTTCAAGACAGTCCAGGCCCAAAGTGGCCCAAAGACCTGCAAGCAGGGGCTGTGTACACTGTGTGAAAGTGTGTAAACTTCCCCACCTCCTTGAAGTCCTACTATGTAGTAGTAACGTATTCTGACATTTTATTATGTGCCAGGAATTGTCCTATCCTTACATCAACCCTGAGTAGTAGTAGTTAAATACCCATTTTGTTGATTCACACCATAGGCTAGGTAAAGTAACTGGGCTGCAGTAACTAACCTGCCTCTCAGTGAAAATTTCTTGAACTTAACTTCTGGGAGACTCATTGTCAATATTCTTTCTTCAAACTTTTAATATTGTGGCTGAACAATACTCTCCTTAATACATGCTTTTTTTCCTACTTTTAAAGCAACTATACATTCTTTTTTAAAGAGATTAAAAAGCATGAGTGGCTCATGCCTGTGGTACTAGCTACTCAAGAAACTGAGATCCAGGGGATCTAGATGGAAGCCAGTCCTGGAAGAAAAGACCATAAAAATCTATCTCCAATTAACTAGCAAAATGTCATACTGGAGGCATGGCTCAGCCTCAGCTGAGTTAGCCAGCTGAGCAAGTTCTATTTTTTGGCCTCAGCACCACAAAAATAACTATAAACAATTTTCAAAAAGTCTAAAAGTAAGTTGAAAAGTAAAGCAAATGAAATACATCTACACAATACACTCTTTGACAGGAACATACAGCTTATTTTCTGACAGTTTTGTGCCCCATATACTTCATATGGCATGCATCTCCTGATGATCTGGCCAAAGTGTACATTCTGAGACTCAAGTTGGAACCCAGATTCCTCATTTCTAATCAACTCCCAGGATTACTGTTGCTGGTGTGTGGATGATATTTTTAACTTCACTGCCATATCTTTAGGCTTTGGCAAGCACATTAACATTCTGTCTACACCAGAATTGCTCAGTCCCATTCAATACACTTTGGCCTATCTGCGTCTTCCAGATTCCCTGCCTTGATAGCATACATATCCTCACTCTAGCAACACCTTCATACCTACTGTTAGAGTCTCCACAGCAACCTGGCTACTTAGGTCATTCTTACTAATTCCTTCATTCTTGATCTTGGATCACTAAGGACTCCTGGAGGAAGTTGCGAGGGCTGGCTACTCTGACCAGCAAGATGAGTCTCCAATATGATGGTGGGAAATAGTGTGGAACTTTAAGGGGTGGAGCTTAATGAGAAGTCCTTAGGTCTCTAGGGTACTGTCTCAGAAGTAACTCATGTAGGTCTTGTGGGTCCCCTGAGCTCTTGAGAGAGTCAATTATTATAATATTTGAGTCTGACCCCTGAATAGATTTCTCCTGCTTTCTGCCTGGCTATGTAACAAGTCCCTCTCAATCAAACTCCCACCACAGTGATCCACCATGAGGTCCTCAACAGTGCCAAGTCAATGCTCATATTACTCTCTTGAATATCCAGAACTGTGGGCTAAGTAAGCCTGTTTTTTTTTCTATGCTAGCCTGCCTCAAATGTTCCATTAAAGTCACATCAAACAGACTAATACAGGGTCCTGGCTTTTATAGCCATCTGTATTCTCCTGCTGCTTTCCATGGTCAACCTCTTACAAGACTGATTCAATCCTAAACCCTCTCTCATGCCCCTCTTCCTCATGCCTCCTCTCCTCTTCAGCACGTTCCCATCATCTATGAACCATCCTCCTATCTTCAGTTATCCCATAGGTGAGGCATCTTTTGCTTGGTTCTTACCCCATCTCTACTGAAGTGGTTCAAGTTATATCATATGTAAGAAAAACAAAACCACTGATTCCCATACTCTACCACTCCCTACATCTTCACCTTACCCAGTCTTCCTACATCAGCAGAGAGGTTCTACCATTTATCCAGTAACTCCAGACATAAACCTAGGAGTCATCCTTCATAGCTCCACCATGTCCATCCATGAATGAATGAATGATTGATCCTATTTCCAGTTTCAACTCTTGCTCTCTGCAGCCCAATCTTTGCAGAGCACCCAAAGAGATTTTGAAAGTCATTGCATGTTATCATGACACTTCTCTGCTTGAAATTCATTAATGCCATTCTCTGAATAAAATCCAGCTCCTTCTCTGCCTCTGTGATCTCTCCTGTCACTTTTCCCCTGGTTTCTCAAGCACCAAGAACATTAGCCTTCTTCTGCTCCTTGAATATACAGTGTTCAACCTTGCCTTGAGGTCTATATATTTTTATTTATATATGTTCATTTTATGCTTTATTTCACTACCAAAATGGCATTGCCAATATTTAAAATTATCTTCATTGTTTATAGACTATCTTTCCCACACTAGAATGTAAGTTTGTTATGAACAGATTTATCTGACATACTTACCTAGCAATGAGCAAGCAACTGATGGGCTCTCTTAACAGCAAGAAAGTGATTTTCTACTCTGTAACTCACTATAAAAGATTTTAGGAATGAATAGTCTATAACCACTTCACCCTTTTCACCAGTATCCCCTTTTATCTATACTTTGACTTCTTTCACCATTCCTCTGAAACTGCCCTCTTGAAGGTCGCCATGATGCTGCCATGAACAAACCCAGCTACCTTCATGCAAGTCTCTTTCTCCCTAACCTCCATGTTATTGATACTGTTGACCACTTCCCTTTTCTTACAAAATCTCTCTTCTTTCTAGGCTTCTGAGTTTCTTCTTTGGGCTATAGTTATACCAAACGTTTTTTGTTTGTTCTTTCTCCTACTACTGATCTTTACCTACAAATCCTCCGAATTGTCCCAAAATACACCTCAGTCAGTTTTGTAATTCTACATAGTTACTTTAAGGACTTTGCTCTTACCGTTTGTGTTCATGAGCCCTTCAACTTCCATCCTACCTCCCTACTTTCAAACTGATGCCCCAAGCCCACTCTCACACTCTGAATTTTCTTCATTCTGTGAAGGAACTGCCCTTCTCAAAATTTCAATAGTATTCTTTAACTCTTATTATCTTTTTCAGTCATCTTATCTGATCTATAACTTTCTTCCAAGAACTGGCTCCATTTATCTTTGTTCCTACTATATACACAATTGTTACCTCTCATATGAAATACAATACCCCATGACCTGACTTCCCCATTTCATGAATCACCTTTCTCAGGCTAGCTATACCCAAACCCTTTAAAATGGTTTCCCATCATCTATAAGAAAAAGATGTATAGCTGTATAGCTTAAAAAATCTTTATTCTCAGCCCAAATAGAACCTCATGACAGTTGTCTAGATATATATTTAGAAATATAAAGTAATAAAATTATCTTCTGGTCTTAGCTTACCTCATTTGTAAGTTAGAACAACCAGAAAATTACCTTTCTTGCATATTAAGACATTGCCAATAAAGGAAAAGTCTACATTGTAATATTGAATGTGCCCCTTTCCTTCTGAATTACTACTCATCTAGGGTCCAGTAAGGACAAGGACTATCCTAGATTTCTGGTTGTAGGGCATGGAGATGAGGAG